CGTGGTGTTCTGGAGGACCTCGATCGGGCTCGTGAGGACCTTGAGCGCATCCCCTATCGGTGGCACCGTGGTTGGCACGAGCGCAGCTTTCTGGGCTACATGCGGAAAGCGCGCGGCTGGTTCTAAGGGCTCTCTACTGGCCTCGACGCAGGGGCCTCCAAATACTAAAACAAGCTTTTACCTGCACTTGAGTCGATCCAGAGGTCTGATCCTGTTCGTGATGCACTCCTTCGGCGCGCGCACCAGTTTTTCCCAGAAGTGCGCCCCGAGCACTTTGATTGCATGTGTGATGTTATCCGGCGAGTGTGCACAGCTACGTCTATGTGTATCTGGATTGCACCTCTGCGGCCAATGACTGGCTCGACTTGCACGAGCGCGAGGTTCCGCGCAGCCCCGCGTGGATGTCTGTTCGGATGCCATGATGTCAACGGCAATGGCACTGACTCGCTCCGCCACTTTTCTACGTGTACTCACCTCTGGGGTCTCCAGAAATCGGTGGTGTGAGCTATGCATGCGTACTGTGGTGAAGTGAGCTATCACTGCTTCCCCTCCTGACTCCTCCTTGAGTTGGATCACGCTTGTCGGCATGTTCAAAGCGTGCTGCCTGCATGGGTGCCTTTCATATTGTGCTCCCAGCGCGAGACGCATGGGCCGCCCTGCCGCTCCCGAGCTAGGATTCGAAGCTCGGCGGAGGGCCACCTTCCGGAGGCTCCCTAAGCTTGCACAAGCTTGGAGCGAGGCGGGTTTCGTCCTTCCCCGTCGCCCTGCCCCTGGCTGTCGCCCCCGGACGGGGAGCGCTGCCGCAGCGAGCGCCTGGCACTCCTCGCGGCAGGCGGGAGCTCCCCTCTTCGGGGCCGCCACCTCCTCGCCGCGACGTGGCTCGCAATGCTCGGCGCCTGAGCCGACCGCCTGCTACATGAAACATACAACACCATCGAGAGTTCTTATATATATATGTATATATATACAGATAAAGACAGATATTCAGGGCATACAGGATCGAGGAAAGAAGGCGGAGGAGGAGGAGGAGGAGGAGGAGGCATGCGCGTTCTCTCGGCCTGCAGGAAGTCTGAGGCTAAGCAGTGGGAGAGGGAGCATGAGAGGGATTGGGTCTACGCCACGCAGGGGGAGAGTTGTGAGAGGGCGGTCTGGGTCCAGTCTGCTATGAACGAGTGGGCCTCACATCACAACCAGTCTTCCGCCTCAGGCCTAGTTGATCTTCAGAAGGCGTATGAGCATGTCGGACACGTTCGCCTTTTGGATTTCGCGGTGCAGCACAGTTTCAGCCCGCGCAGAGCTGCCCTCCTGGTCACTATGTACAGCGCCCCGAGGGTTCTGCAGGTGGGGCTATTCGTTTCGGAGTGGTTTAGAGTTGCTCAAGGGATCCTCGCAGGGTGTGCTTATGCTACGACGCTCCTCCGTCTGTACCACACCAGTACTCTTGATTCGGTTATCCCTCTCGCCGTCAACATCTCCGCCTACCTAGTGGTGGATGACTGTACGTTGTCAGTGATCGGGCCAGCCGAGTTGGTATTTCGTGGGCTGGTACGAGCGCTCCATGCATTGTGCAGCAAGCTGGAGGATCTAGGACTGAAAGTGTCTCCCACTAAGAATAGGATTGTGGCGTCGTCCAGGACCATGGGGAAAGCTATATCCAGCAGGCTTCGTCGGTGGAACTTCGTGGTCGTCGACGGGGTCAAGAATCTTGGGATCGACTTTTCGTGTTCAAGGGCGGCACGCAGGGTCCAGAAGGGTCGGATTCTGAGCGTCAGAAAAAGGATTCGCAGGTTTCGGTTACTCAGCACGTCGCGAAAGGGGCTTTCTCGTATTTTCAAGGCGGGAGGAGCCCCCGCGGCCCTGTATGGTACCAGGGTTACGGGAATGAGTAACGCGGATCTCTCCTCCCTGAGGGCTGCTGCTGGGTCGGCGCTGTTTGGGCCGTCGGCGGGCAAGAGCCGCTCGTTGCAATTTTTTCTCAGCGAGGACCCCAAGTCCGATCCCGTGTATGCGGGCAACGCCTTGCCGCTGGTGTTCTGGGGGCGCGCGATCGTCGAGGGTTGGTTGTCGAGAGATATCTTGGGGTCCCTTTTTGCCAAAGCGTTTGCTAAGTTTAACGGCAGGGTCCGTGGGCCCTGCTCGGCTGTTCTGGCCACCTTGAAGCGCCTGGGTTGGACGCCGCAGAGTGAGTCGAGGTGGGAGGCGGGGGGGGGTGCTGGTTGATCTGACGGAGGTCCGCCCTGGCTCGCTTCGGAAAGCTGTCGATTTAGGAACGGAGCTTGCGCTCCTACGGTGCCTCCCTGGGCCCCCTGGTTTGGAAAACCTGGGGGGGGCCCCCCTCCTGGAGCCCATGCGTCAGGCTCAGCAGCAGCTTCGACGGGAGGGTTTCAAGACGGCGGCGCAGCTCCTCGGAACCCATGTCGCGGGGGGGCTTTGGACTCAGGCGCGCCTCTTCGCGGCACGGTCCGTCGACTCGCCCTTGTGTCAGGTCTGCAAGGCGGAGCCAGGAGACGAGGGGCATCGTTTGTTCAGATGTGAATTCAGTGCTGTGGTCAGGCGCGAGCTCGACCTGGACGATGTCACCCGTGCTGGCAGAGAATGCGAGCATCAAGATCCCCTCCTCCACAGGGGCCTTGTGGACTCTTTGCTTGACCTCCAACCTCCCCCGAGGCTCGATGGGCTCGTGGAGTTTGAAGGGCCCATTGTGGGAGGGGCCCTCTCAGGTCTCGTTGGGATCGACGGGTCCTGTTTGGCGCCCAATTTTCCTCTGGCTTCTAGGGCTGGTTGGTCTTGCGTGAAGATCGACCGCCATGGGGACTCTGAAGGAGCCATATTTGGGCCTCACCCTGGAGTCTTGCAGGAGATCGGAGCAGCTGAGCTCTGGGCCTTTTATATGTGTCTTTGCAATTGTGTAGGCGAGGTTACGGTTGTCACCGATTGTAAGTCTCTCATCGATGGTGTAGCGGCAGGGCCTGAAGCGTGCTGCCGCCCCACGAAGGTGCATTCGGAAGTGCGGTGCAAGATTTGGTTTAAGATCGACGAGATAGGTCTTGAGCAGATTCACTTGCACTGGATACGAAGCCACGAATCATGGACTCATGCACAGGCGCAAGGGGTCCCGTGGCTTCATTACAGGGCTAATAAGCTTGCTGACGTGTATGCTAAGAAAGGCGCGAGGTTGCATCCTGTGTCTGAGGAAGTAGAGGAGTTGAGGCCGCTTCTGTGGTGGTCGGCCTATTTCGTTGCTCTCTACTCAGGCAGGATCCTCGCGCACCTCGCCGCCTCCTCTTTCCCCGATGCTCTCAAACCTCGGCTCCGTCGCGTTTTCGACCCGCTCGAGCTCGTGTCGGATCCCAAAGGGCATCAGGCGAAGTATTCTGGAGGCCGCTGGTTTTGTTTGTGTTGTGGCCGCAGCTGCTCGACTCGCGCCAGGCTGGTGCACGACAGGTGCCCTGGGGTCATGGCGAAGCTGGCTCAGGCACATTGGTCTCACAGGCTCTTGTGCTCGGGTGGTCCTGGCGGTCTTGTGTGGTGCAGTGTGTGCGGGGCGTATGCCAGACGGCAGATTTTGGCCCTCGCCGATCGCTGTGCAGGACACCCCGCAGATGGCCGAGCACGGGCCTTGCGCCAATTAAAGCAGGGGCTGGACCCCTCCTCCAAGCGGCCCATCCCCCGCTCTTGCCCCGTGCAGCCCCCTCTCCATCCCCGCCGCGTCGGGTGGGCTCGGGGGCTGTATGAGGTCTTGGGCGAGAGGCGGGACATCCGCTGGGAGGATTCGGAGTAGGGAGCCTGGAGTGTGTAGGCGGTCCTGTGGCTTCCTCGGCGTGTAGTGGAGGCGTTCGGATTGCGGTGGTTCCCTCGGGGGCCGCCGTCAGAGGAGCGGAAAGCGGAAAGAGGAGGAGGCGGCGCAGGAGGAGGAGAGGGAGGAGGAGGAGGAGGAGGAGGAGGAGGAGGAGTACACGGCAACCCTAGAAGGCCCGGAAGATAGCTCCATGAGGGTCCTGATGACGTACGGAGTTCTGAACGTGGCTCCAGGACGGCTCAAAGGGAGCTCAGACGGCCCAAGAGGGTCCCAAAAGGTCTCGCGGAGGCCCACAAGAGGACCTGAGAGGCGAGGAGGAGGAGGAGGAGGAGGAGGCTCCAAAAAAGAGGAGGAGGAGGAGGAGGAGGAGGAGGAGGCCTTCAGCCCCACCCAAGGGGCTCCAAAAAAGGCCTCGACACCGCCCCCACGAGAGGGGGCCCGGCGCTCCCGACACGCCCGAGAGAGCTTCGCCCTCAACAGTACTCCAACAAGAGCGGCCTCCCGACCGTGGCCGGGCACGTCCGACCCATCAGCGGTTTGAACTCTGTAAGAACGGTTCTTTGAAGGCAGATCTGGCTTCAAAGTAAAACCGGTTCTTTGAAGGCAGGTCTGCCTTCGAGAAACGGTGTTTTGAAGGCAGATTTGCCTTCAAAGTAAAACCGTTCTTTTGAAGGCAGATCTGCCTTGAAAAAACCGGTCTTACAGAGTAGACCGATCTCCTCAATGTCACGCCCTCTTGTGAAGCTTTCCTGGGCCCCCCCTGGAGATCCTTCGAGCCTCCCCGGCGCCCCCTGGCGGCTCTCCCCGAGGGCCTCCCGAGCCCTGTCCCCGGGCGCTTCCGAGGCGCCTCAGATGGGCTTCGGCTTTGGCGCACAGACACCAGCAAAGGTCCTTCCCCCTCCTCCTCCTCCTCCTCCTCCTCCTCCTCCTCCTCCTCCTCCTCCTCCTCATCCACCCCCTCCTCCCCCTCCTCCTCCTCCTCTGGCAGAGAGCAGCAGATACCAGCAGAAAGCAGCACAGAGCAGCAGAGAGCAGCAGAGAGAAGCAGAGGGCGTCAGAGGTCAGCAGAAAAAGCAGCAGGGACCAGCAGCAGAGGGCAGCAGGAGAGCAGCAGAGGCCAACAGCACAGCCCCCGAGAGACTTCAAGACTGCCACCACTGGGAGAGGGGCGAACGAGCCATGCGCCTGGGCCAGGCTGCTGGAGCGCTGCAAGAGCTCGGGCGCGAAGGCGCGGTCTCGCTACTACCGCCCCAGCCGCATCCGTGCTTATAGGTTCTCGGCGAACTCTCCGCCGGTCCTCCGATGACCATTCGAGACAGAGGTCGTGGACGGAGTCCACGGCTTAGCCCTAGTCAGCTACAATGCTGGGATCAGCGCTTGCGAGAAAGGTAAGCAGTGGCAGCGTGCCCTGTCGCTGCTCAGCGAGATGTTGGGGTCAAAGTTGGAGCCCACTGTCATCAGCTACAACGCTGGGATCAGCGCTTGCGTGAAAGGTCAGCAGTGGCAGCGGGCCCTGTCGCTGCTCAGCGAGATGTTGGTGTTGAAGTCGCAGCCCGATGTCATCAGCTTCAGTGCTGGGATCAGCGCTTGCGAGAAAGGTCACCAGTGGCAGCGGGCCCTGTTGCTGCTCAGCGAGATGTTGGGGTCGATTCTGGAGCCCGATGTCATCAGCTACAACGGCGTGATCAGCGCTTGCGAGAAAGGTAAGCAGTGGCAGCGGGCCCTGTCGCTGCTCAGCGAGATGTCGGGGTCGATGTTGGAGCCCGATGTCATCAGCTACAGTGCTGGGATCAGCGCTTGCGGGAAATGTCAGCAGTGGCAGCGGGCCCTGTCGCTGCTCAACGAGATGTTGGTGTCGAAGCTGGAGCCCACTGTCATCAGCTACAACGCTGGGATCAGTGCTTGCGAGAAATGTCAGCAGTGGCAGCTGGCCCTGTCGCTGCTAAGCGACATGGTCGAGACGAGGCTGGAACCCACTATGATCAGCTACAACGCTGGGATCAGCGCTTGCGAGAAAGGTCAGCAGTGGCAGCGTGCCCTGTCGCTGCTCAGCGAGATGTTGGGGTCAAAGTTGGAGCCCACTGTCATCAGCTACAACGCTGGGATCAGCGCTTGCGAGAAAGGTCAGCAGTGGCAGCGGGCCCTGTCGCTGCTCAGCGAGATGTTGGGGTCGGAGCTGGAGCCCACTGTCATCAGCTTCAGTGCTGGGATCAGTGCTTGCGTGAAAGGTCAGCAGTGGCAGCGGGCCCTGTCGCTGCTCAGCGAGATGTCGGCGTCGAAGTTGGATCCCAATATCATCAGCTACAGTGCTGGGATCAGCGCGTGCAGCACCGGGGGGCAGTGGCAGCGGGCCCTGTCGCTGCTCAACGAGGTGTTGGGGTCGAAGCTGGAGGCTGGTGCAACTGGCCTCGTTGCTGCTCGTCGAGGTGTTTGAGGTGAAAGTGGGGCCCGACTACAGGTTCTAGGAACCGCAACCGTCGGCTGCGAGAAGCTCGGGGCGTGGCAGCACGCGCCTTTGCTTTTCGGCGAGCTGCTGCAGGCGAGGATGGAACCCACCGTGGCCGCCCGCAGCGCTACGCGCTCCGAGCCCTGGTCGAGGGCACATCAGGCGTCAAGCCGCCAGAAGCCGCGACCTTGTTGAGCACGAGCTCGCAGCGTTTCTCTCCCAAGGAAAAATAGAGACTCCTCCAGGAGGGCAGCGAGAGGGCACTGCGGTGGCGGCGGCCGCGGGGGCGGTCAGCCGAGCGGTCTCGCGCGGCGCGGCGCTGTGGCCCGTCGGGCCCGCTGGGCGGCCAGCGACGCGCGGGGCGCTCTCCCCTCCCCTTCTCCTCCCCTCCGCCTCCCGTCCCTGTCCCTTCCTCCCCCTCCCCCCCTTCTTCCTCCCTCCTCCTCCCCCTCCTCCGCCTCCTCCTCCCCCTCCCCCGGTCCCCCAGCCGCCGTCCCGGCCCGAGGTTTTTGGGTGCAGGTATCCAGGATACCTGCGAGCCTCGCGGGACTCGGCGGCCATACGCGCTCGCCCGCGCCCTTGCTGGTGGCGTGCGGGCCGGCCGTGCTGCTGTGCTGCGGCGTGCGCCGCCCCCAGAGTGGGCGGGCGCACGACGGCGCGGGCGCCCGCTTTGCGCAGGGCGCGGCGCCGGCTGCGCGTGCGCGAGCCCGCCTGGCACAGGCGCGCTCGCGAGCGGCGCACGCAGTCGCGCACCTTGCTGCGCGTCGCCGCTGCCGCTGCGAGGCTGCGCGCGCACCACAGCAACGGGCTGATGTCAGGCCGTGCTGGAGGCGGGGGCAAAGGCGGCCAGGGCCGCAAGGGCAGCGGCAAGGGCAGTTCGGGCGGCGGCCACAGCGGGCAGAGTGGCAGCACTCCGCCGTGGGCCGTGCCGCCGCCGCCGCCTGGATGGTGGTGCCCGTCGTGCGGAGGACTCAACGGCCCTGCTGACGCCCTGTGCCGCACTTGCTTCCCTCTTCCCGAGCATGGTCCAATGCATGGAGACGGAGGAGGGACAGCGCGCCCGCGCGCGGGCCCGCGCGGTGACGGCCGCCTGCCTCGTTCTGCCTCGAGGCGTCGGCGCCGCGGCGGCAAGGGCGAGGCACGTCAGCCCGAGGCCGAGCCGAGGCCGCGGTCAGCCTCGCGAGTCCGCTTCGAGCACGAGGGCACGGAGGACGACGGAGGCGATCCGCGGCCGAGGTCGGCCTCGAGCCGCCGCCGGCGCTCCGCCGACGGCGATGGGCGACGGAGGCGTTCTGCTGGAGGCGAATCTGATGCATCGGATGGCGACGAGGACGGCCGCAACCCCGCGCTCGGCATCCTTCCCGCGCTGCCGTCGGACGCGCGGGCCCACCCAGCCTGGGTCGAGCCGCCATCGGATGAGCGCGGGCTCACAGCCCACAGGCGCTCACTGCGCCAGATGGCGGCCGCCACGGGCAAGAGGCCGCAGGCCGCCATCGAGCTCGGCATGAGTCTGGAGCAGAGGCGGCCGCAGGAGGAGGAGTACGCCGTGCAGCTCAGCATGATCATCCTGGCCCGCCCAGCTGGCGTACGATGCGACCGCCAGCGCAGCTTCGTCCAGAGGGCTCAGGCCAAGCTGGAGAAGGCCGAGGCCGCGGCTGCGCAGGCGCGTGAGGAGCTCGCGGAGCTGGAGGCGAAGGTGCGTCAGCGCGCCGAGGCCCTCGGCCGCGCCAAGACGCTCCTGGAGCAGCTCGAGGCCATGGCCCCCACGGGCGACGAGCCGATGGAGGAGCCCATCACGCCGACGCCCGTGGCAGGCGCTGAGGGCGATGCAGCCCCAGCCACGCCGCCCGACCGCGCGCCGCCCATCGCGGCCATCGCGGAGCTGCAGGCTGGCCAGGCAGCCCTCACCCAGCAGCTCGTCGGCCTCACGCAGCTGCTGACGACGATGCAGGGTCAGATGGCGGCGGCGCGCGGTGGAGTGGCGCATGGCGACGCGCCTGCGCCCGAGGTGCGGCCCTTTGCAGGGCCCCCCCAGCGCCTGGGGCCAGTGGCCCCCGCGCCCAGGCCTGAGGCTCCTGCCGCGGCCTACCCCGTGCCGGCCGACGCACCTATGGCCCGCGGCCCCCAGGGGGGGCCCCCGCCTGCGGGCGCCGCCGTGGGTGCGGCATGGGGCGCTGCTGGACCCGCCGCCGCCGACGCCGTCGAGGCGCCAGTCAGCGCCGAGGAGGATGTTGCTGCGGCTGCCGCGGCCGAGGCGGCCCGCAAGGCGAGGGCAGCTCAGCGTGCTGAGAGGAAGGCTGCAGAACGTGCGCGTCGCCCTGATGGACAGCAGGGACTGCGAGACGCGTTGGCTCGCCAAGCGTCAGCGCGGCCAGGTGCGCGCAGTCACCGCGGCCGCGGCGCCCTGCCACCGTCGCCGCACGGCCGTGCCGCCGTCGCCGCAGAGGCATGAGAGGATGCCGTTGCAGGTGCAGCCAGCCGCCGCCAGAGGCACAGCCGCAGCCACAGCCCACGGCGCGAAGCGCCAGATGGCTTCATGCCGTGCGGCGGCCGCGCCGGCTCCACCGAGGGCAGCGAGGGAGCGACGTCGACGCTGGGGTGATGTGTCATGGCGGGCGGGCCAAGGGGGGCGAGAGGGCTGCCGCTGAGCCGTCTCAAGGCCCGCCTGCGATTGGCGCTGCGCCAGTCAGGCCGACTGACACTCACCTCGGATGGAGCCCGAGGCCCAGCAGCAGCCACGCTGCCCAATTCCAGATTGCACTGATCTAGTCAGGCTACTGTGCCAGCCCTGGCTATCTTGCTCTCTCACTCCCGTCTGCTCGCTTGCTCCGCCCTTTGCACCCGTTTCCCAATCTCCGTGTCCCCCGCCGCCCCCACAGCCCGTTGAGCTCACGCCAGACTTGCGTACCCTAATTGCTGCCAAGCGTGCGCAAGCTAGAGAGCGACGTCGGATTCGACTCGCTCAGCGAATAGCCCCATGGACTTTCCAACCCGGTTTCGGGGTAGGGCTGTTTGATAATGCGCACGAGTAAATAGGATGTTGGGTGGAGGGCCTCAGGTGTAGGCGGTGGATGGGTAAGGGATTGCATTTCAGTCAGGCACTTTGTCAGCCCTGGCCTTGCTCTCACAACTATTTCGTCTTTCGAGCCTTTCGTTACCTCTCTTATCTCACCTTCCTAGAAGCTCACAGACACCCGCGCCACGCACACGGCACTTGGGTGGACCACCGTCTTGGGGTTTGACAGGCGAGCAGGCTGACAGTGGGGTACTTGTGTGGCCGTGCTCTGATCTCTCCGCCTATGTTGCCAGTGTTTCGAGCTGTGCTAAGACCTTGCCTCGTGGCTGGTGCTATGGTTCATGCGTGCCCTCCTCGTTTGCCTAGCCCCGTGGTGGTATACAGATAACCCCCAGCTCATCCGCCAGTTCCGAGCTGAGCTGGAATCACGTCCGCTGAACGAGCTTGCATTCCATAGCCGTCTGACCCAGAGTTGCGCCACAGTAGGCCTAACTTTCACGTGGATCAGTTTTGCTGCAGTCAGCCTCTCTTGGACCATGGATGTGTGTCTGCCGGCCACCTTCAGTTTCCAGGAGTATCCGATGGCCGCAGTTTCAGGTGATTTTTGTAGTATGGAGGGAACGTTGGGGGATTGGTCGAGGTGCTAGCAGCGGGGCAGGGTAACAGCAAGCGGAGAGAGCGGCAGCCCGCCTCTTTTGCTCTTTCATCGCTTCGGCCTGCCTGCAGTGCCGACCCGCCCTCTTGCCCTCTCTCCCTCTGAGACCAGATTTTTCAGATAAGACGCATCACGTTTGACTGACAGCAGTCGCAATGCGCAACTGTTGCCATCTCGAGCGTCAGCCTTGTCGGCCGAACCGAGGGTCGATCCGTGAGGGGAGGGGGCCATAGTGGGCGCTCCGAAAGGAACTCGCGAAGCCCCCGCCCCACAGCGGCTCTCGCCGAGGTAAAGTCGTTGAGCCCAGCGGCTTTGAGAGCCACAGCGGTCGTGAAGACCGCGTCGTGTAGTCGGGAGAGGGCTGGGATTGGTAGGTCGGGCAGTTGGAGGTATCAGCAGCGAGGCAGTGTAGCAACAGTCAGAGAGAGCGGCAGCCCGCCTCTCTTGCTCTCTCTTGTGCACGGCCTGCCTGCATGTGCTGCCCCGCCCTCTTGCCCTCTCTCTCTGAGACTAAATTTCAGACGGTGCGCAACAGGTTTCACTGAAAGCAGTTGACGTGCGCAACTGTCGCCAGCTCGAGTGTCAGCCAGGTCGGCCGAACCAAGGGTCGAACCGTGAGGGGAGGGGGCCATAGGGCGCTCTTATTCGAGAGGGGGTTGGGTATGGCAGGTTGGGCGGACGTGCTGAGATCGGAGAGGCATGTGCCTGCCTCTCTTGCTGCTTTCCGCCGCCGCCTGCTTGCCACCCGCTCGCCTGCTCTCTCTCCACCGTCAACCTGGGCAGAGGTGCGCCCCCTCGCGGTTCTGTCACCGCCCGACTGTCTAGCTTCAAGCCTTGGCCCGCGGGGGGCAGCGGCAGGGGGCTCGGTGAGCGTAGTCCGTCGCTAACCACACACCCGTTGCGTGTGGCACCGAACCCCCGAGTGTCCGTCGGTCCGCGCGCCGCCAGCCAGGCGCTCATGCGGCTGCACGCCGCAGCCCCCGCCTGCCGCCAGCCTTTCTTGCTTTTGTCTTGCAGATAAGGATGGGCGTGGGAGTGGCTGGTAGCATTGTGGAGGGGATAAGTCAGCGAGTACATCTCTGTGTAGCGTGATGTCCTGGCGCGGCCAGGGATACGCCGAGAGCAACCGTTCAGGATTGCCCACCCTGTCTGCCGCCACTTCCTGGCCACGGTTGAAAGTTTCAACCCTTCTCCGCCTAGTATCAGACGCTCTGCGTCCACATGGCTGCCTCGCACCCAGTTGCGCGCGTAGTTAATACTATGGGACTGGGTGGGATTCGTGGGGTTAGGCAGGATGGGTGGAGGAAGTTACTGTCTGACTTGACTTCAGGTGCCCGTGCAGAGTTTGCGAGCTTCGCCTCTTAGCACAGCCACACGAGTTGACTGTGCTAACTGCCTCTGCTAGCTGCAGCGCCGCCATTAGCTGACAGGCCATGCGCTTCATCAGCAGCGCAATCCAAAATCCCGGCCCCCCCCCTCCTCCTCCTACTCCTCCCTCCTCCTCCTTCCTCCTCCTCCTCCTCCTCCCCGACTCCTCCTCCTCCTCCTTCCCTCCCCTGCCTCCTCCTCCTCCGCGCTCCTCCTTCCTCCTCCTCCTCCTCCTCACTCCCTCCTCCTCCTCTGTCTCCTCCCTCCCCTCCGTCCTCCTCCTCCTCCTTCCTCCTCCTCCTCCTCTCCTCCTCCTCCTCCTCCTCCTCTCCCCCTCCTCCTACTCCTCCTCCTCCTCCTGCCTCCTCCTCCTCCTCCGCCTCCTCCTCCTCTCCTCCTCCCCCTCCTCCTCCTCCACCTCCTCCTCCTCCTCCCTCCTCCTCCTCCCCCTCCTCCTCCTCCTCCTCCTCCTCTCCCTCCTCCTCCTCCACCCCTCCTTCTCTCCTCCATCCTGTCCCTTCTCCTCCTGCCTCCTCATGACCTCCTCATTGTCATCCTCATCTCACCCACAACCATCGCCTCCCCTCTTCTCCTACCTCTTTCCCACCTCGGCTCCTTCTCCTCCCTCCCTCCCTCCCCAATCCCTCCCTCCCTCCCTCCCTCCCTCCCCTCCTCCTCCCTCCTTCGTCCCCTCCCCTCCTCCTCCCCCGGTCTCCTCCCCTCCCCCTTCTTTTCCCCGCCGAGCGAGGGTGTGGCGCGCGGCGCCAGGCGCGAAGGCAAGCCGAGCCAAGCAAGCAACCACGCCCGGGCCTGGACGGCTCTCGCCTCTGCTCGGCTTGGAGAAGAGGGGTCCTGGAGTCGAGACTGATAAGCAGGGAGGAGGAGGAGGAGGAGGAGGAGGAGGTGGTGGAGGAGGAGGAGGAGCAGGAGGAGCCGGAGGAGTAGAAGGGGAGACCTGGAGTCGAGACTGATGAGCAGGGCGACCCTGCCGAGTCAAGAGTACGCTCGTGTCCTGTGGTTCGCGGCCCGTGCCTTCTACGTGCCTGCTCGTAGTTTTTGAAGAAGCGTCCGGGGGGGCGTCACCCCCGCCGAAAGCCCCACATCGACCCCCGTCGCGGGCAGCCACCGCGCGCCGAAGGCGCTCCGACCCCCGTCGCGGAGCGACGACGAGGCGAGGTTGACCCCCGTCGGGGGGGTACCCCCCCACGGTTATTAAGAAATCTAGAGTATGGCATTGTAGCCTTCGGAACTGTCTTGTGTTCTTGGGCCTCTCTCGCCTCTGCTCCGCCTGAAGACGAGAGGTCCTGGAGGGAAGGGGGCCAGGATTGTTGTTCACCGTCTCGGGGCTCCCGGGGGCCTATTATCCGGGACGCTCCCCGCTGACTCGTCCTGCTGGAGAGCTTGTGGACTTCACCTAGGGGAGGCAGGAGGGAGGATGCAGCCACTCACCATCCACCAAACCACCCCAACCCAACCCGAAGGCGCAGATTGACCCTCGATTTCCAGGGGGGGGTCTGGAAACATTGAAAAAACACAGATGGAACCCTTACCCCCCCCCACCCGAAATTCGGGTCTTCGGGCTGGGTTGGGGTGGTCTGGGAGGTAGGCAGCCACGCGCGGGGACGCAGCGCCCCCAGGTCGTGCAGATCCCAGCGGCTTGCGCACACGTCCGGCGCTCTCGCTCAAGAGTCAAGAGGGCTCGCTCGCCCGGCGGCGGCCCCGGGCCCCAGACCCCTCCAGCCGGCCCCCGGGCCCTGCGACCCGGCCCGCACGGGCCCCGAGATGGCCCCAAGAGGCTAGTGGGGTTTTCTCGTAGGGCACAGGCGGATCCACCTCCTCCTCCTCCTCCTCTCCTCACCTCCTCCTCCTCCACGCTCCTCCTCCTCCTCCTCCCCCCCCACCCCCCCTCCCTCCCCCTCCTCCTCCCTCCCACCCAGCCCCTGCTTTCCCACCCTCCCTCCCTCCCCACCCTCGCTCCCTCCTCCTCCTCCTCCTCACTCCTCCTCCTCCTCCTCCTCCTCCTCCTCCTCCTCCTCCTTGTCGGGGCGCCTGTGGCCCCGGGGGAAACCGTGCACTCAGACCCTCGACGTCACGATTTGTTCGTAGCGTCGGCCCCGACCCATTCCCCTGAGTCGTTTTTGGACGGTCCCGAGGCCCAGTACGGGCGCCCCGAAGCCAAAAGTGGCGAAGCACCTCCCGTCGCGATGTGTTTTCACTGCGCGAGGGGGTCTGGGTTCAGTGTGCCCTGTGGGCTTGCCCATGACGTCGCACCGATCGCGCGGGTCTTCTCGGCTGGCTTTCCCGCGAGGGTTTCCCGCGGCCGCGCCCGCGCTGCACACCGCGCCCCGTCTGGGCCTACATTTTCATTTCTAAGTATTCGAAAGTTCTTTGATTGGTTGGGGGGCCAGTATCCTTTCATTTCTAAGTGTTCTATCCTGGGCCTCTTCCTGGCCACTAGGGGGCCAGGAACAGTCAGAAACGAGCAAAATTAGAAATGAGCACGATTAGAAATGAACGACGTGTGTATCCTTGGCCCAGGCCCAGAGCGATGGCCTCCCCGGCCCGAGTCGGGAGGGCGCCTGAGTCGATCCTCGGCTCGGGGATCGGGGCGATCGAGGTGGGGTACGGAAACGAATGGGCACGTACTCCGGATTCCATCATAAAGTAGGGGGGGTACATTTGGCGGGAGGGTCTGATTTGAGCTGTCTTGAAGGGTTAGGGGGGGTCTGGGCAAAGTGCCGCCCTTTCATGGATGGTCGGGGGTGTCTAAAACTTGTGGTCTGGGAGGATTGTGACCCACTCCCTTTGATTACGAAATCTGGAGTACAGAGACCGCGACAGCAGTTCCTGCCCATCTTGGACAGGGCTCGCTGTCGGTGTCGCCGCGGGCGGTGCCCCTTCTGTGAGGCAGACTGCCGCGTGCCCAAACAGCGGCCTCGATGACGGCCCCGCCCCTTCCCGAGCCTCCTATCTCGCCTGGCTCGCCGATCGTACCGCTGATGATCCTGAGCGCGCGTGCCACTTGCATACCGCCCGAGAGAATCAGATCAGTGCGTCTGTGGTGCGCCCTCCCTCCCGGTTGTCTGCGCCGAGTGCCTCCGCCTTCACCTCTCTCTCTCTCAGTGATGCTGCCGTGTTCGCGCTGCGCCGCTCAGGCCCCTCCATGGGAATCCCCTCCGTCCCCCTCGCGGAGGTGGAGGAGAAGGAGGGCCCCCTTCCCTTCACTCCCTCGCTTCCGCCGCCGCCATGGAGCAGTCGCCATCGCAGTGGGCAGCGCATCAGCCGGCCACGCTGCAGCCGCAGCGGCCTTTTGTCGGGGATGCAGCCGCTCCCGCATTGACGCTTCAGCAGCAGCAAGAGCAGTTGATGTGGCAGCAGCAAGTCCAGCAGCAGCAGCAGCAGCACCTCCAGCAGCAGCAGCAGCACCTGCTGCAGGAGCCGCCAGGTGAGGTCTTGCAGCCCACGCTGCAGATGCAGCCGCACATTGTTGGGGATGCGACCGCCCCCACAGTGGCGTTTCAGCAGCAGCAGCAGCAGCTGCAGCAGCAGCATCAGCAGCAGCAGCAGCAGCAGCATCAGCAGCAGCAGCAGCAGCAGGAGCAGCTGCCCCTGGAGCAGCAATACCAGCAGCAGCTTCAGCAGCATCAGTTCCAGCAGGATGTGTACCAGCAGCAGGCGGTGCATCAGCCGCTGCCGCAGCAGTTTCAGCAGCCGCCACAGCAGCCCGCACTGGAAGCGGTGCACCAGCCTGCGCCGCATCACTCACAGCAGATGGGGCAGCAGCAATGGCACCAGCAGCCGCAGCCTGGGCAGCATGCCGACTTCCAGCCGACGCCGCAGCAGCTGCCGCAGGCCGTGCATCAGCCGACGATGCAGCCGCGCAGCGCCCCCTCGCCGACCCAGGCCGCGGCACTGATCCAGCGGTGGTACCGCGGCAGGCTGCGCAGGGCACGATTCCTGACCGTGATCAACCGGGCCAGGAGGCGGCGGTCTTATTTGGACCAGCGGCGCAAGGTGGCGCAGCGGCTCTACTTCAATGAGGTCGACTGCTCCTCTCCTGAAACCTCCCCGTGCTCCTGATCTGCGACCACTTGCGGATCCTAGCACTGCGTGGCCATTCGGCGGACACGCCCGTTGCGGGCCACCGCACTGCAGACATCCTTCGAATTCTGACTCCCAGCTGTTCATGTTTCCCGAAGCATGACCTGCAGGGGTAGGTGTCGCACGTGGTTGCCAACCTGATCTGTCTTCCTCTTCCCAGACAGCAAGCTGGCCACTTCCAGGAGAGACCCCCACTTCTTCTCATTCGTAGTATACTTGTGTGTTGTTTTACTTTGCTGCGCTTCTGGGCATTACGATGTGTTGTGTTTCGTAGCGCTACGTGTTATTCACACTCGTCTTTTCAGACTACCATGTTTTCTTAGTTAAGGCCTTGACATGTTATTGTAATGGCCTCTGGCGAGTGCCGCCGATCCGTGGGGCTCCGGATTCGGTGATCTTCGCGGCTCTGTGGCCTCCTCCCTCCTCGATTCGTCCCTCCTCTTTCTTCTCCCTAGTTCTCGTTATCCTCTGCCTTGATATGCTATTCTTGCAACACGTCCCGTTGGCCGCTTCTGGGCCGCGCACGTGCCTCGGGCCATGCTTTGCGAACCCCCTCGTGGATCCTTGAACCCCCGATCAGCGTTCCGCGGCAAGGGAGACAGCCAGTGGGCCGCGAAGTCTAAGACTCGAGAGATCGCCCGTGACGGTCCTGCCGCGGCGCTGAGAGGTCATGGCCTTCCTCCTCCTCCTCCTCCTCCTCCTCCTCCTCCTCCTCCTCATGCTCCTCCTCATGCTCCTCCTCCCTTTCTTTGCGCAGAAGGCACTTGCACATCGCCACCACCACCACAAGGCATGGTCGGGGCCATCCGGGGCCGCAGGGAGGCACACGGGCGGTAGAAAGCACGGACCTTCCCGGCCTCGGCCAGGTGGGCGTGCACTCCGTGCCAGCGCCCTGGATGGCCCCTGGCCGGGTACGCCGGCGGTGCTCCTCCTTGTCCTCCTTGTCCTCCTCCTCCTCCTCCTCCTCCTCCTCCTCCTCCTCCTCCTCCTCCCCCTCCTCCACCTCCTCCTAATCCGCCTCCTCACCTCCGCCCCCTCCTCCATCCTCCTCCTCCTTCCTCCTCTCCCCCTCCTCCTCCTACCTCTTCTCCTCCATCTCCTTCTCACTCCTCCTCCCCACCTCCTCCCTCCCCTCCTCACTCCTCCTCCTCCTCCCATCCTCCCTCCGCCTCCTCCGCCTGCGCGCGCGCCCCGCCCCGCCAAGGTCGAGGCGGAGAGAGCCAGCCGCTTTGGCGCAGCCGACAGGCGCCCTTGCTCGTGGCCGCCCGAGGACCCGGCAGACAGCCGACCCGCGCAGCGAGGGGGCGGGTCGGAGGTTCCCCCCTCCTCCTCACTCCTCCTCCTCCTCCTCCCCTCCATTCCTCTCCTACATCCTCCTCCTCCTCTACCTCCTCCATGTCCTCCTCCTCCACCTCCCCCTCCCTCCTCCTGCTCCCTCCTCCTCCTTCCCCCTCCTCCTCCTTCTCCCCCTCCTCCTCCTCCTCCTCCCTCCTCCTCCTCCTCCTCCTCCTCCTCCTCCTCTCCCCTCCTCCCTACCCACCCTCCCTCCCTCCCTCCCTCCCTCCCTACCCTCCCTCCCTCCCTAAAAGCACCTGTCTGCCCCGCCCTCCCTCCCTCCCAAAGCGCGCAGAGCTGCGGTGCCTGTCACCGCTTGGGCCCGCGCGCGGTCGGGCCGCTCCCGCGGGGTGCGGCGCGTGCCCTCCGAGAGGATCCCCTTCCGGGGGCCTGGGATTCAGAGCGTGAATTACCTACCCCGGTTTCGCTTCAGGCAAAACCAAGTCATACCACGCGCCTCCTCGTCAAGCGGCCTGACCAATACAGGCCGTAGTTTGGCATCGTTTGGTATCTCTTGGAAGCGAGGGTGGTCAAAAGCGAGGTAGGTTTGTTTTCCCCCTAGAGAGGGCCCTCTGCTCGCCGCGTCGGTGCCCTCGCTCTTTTTGGGGCGCCGCCGGGCCTCTTGCTCGGCACTGCGCGTGTCGCCGCCCGCGGAGCTCTTTGGTCAGGAGGACAAGAAACACACAGACACAATTAATCGTCGATTCCTGTCATTTGTGCGTATTGACTTGTGTGCTCGTGGGCCCCTTCCGTGTGGGCGGGGAGGGGGCTCCGCCTCTGCCGCGGTGGCCCGTGCCTGCCCTGGACCGCAGCCTGTTGGATCTCGGGGCGATCGGGTGCTTTCCAACCTCGCCAGTCGAGGCCTGCTAGATGGGGTCGGAGTAGATCAGGAGGGAAAGAAACACACAGACACAATCCATCGTCGATTCCCCAGGAAATGTGGGAAGATCTGGGAAGTGGGGGGGGGAGACAAAAACCCAGAAAATATAGGAAATGTTGGAGATCCTGTTTTTGTGTGTATTTGTTTGTGTGTCCTTGGGCCCCTTGATTATGGGCCGCAGGCCCCGGCACGCACGGGGAGGAGCAACGCAGGAGCACAAAGCTGGTTCTACAAGGTCTCCATGCGGGTGCGCTCAGAAGCGGCATCAGCAGAAACTTCTGGCGCTCCGCGCGGAGTTCTTGGATCCGCGCTGGGCCCTGGGGCGGCGCCGGAGGCGCCGCCGGGGAGGACCAGCGCGGATCCAAGAAATCCGCGCGGAGCGCCAACAGTTCATGTGTAGGGGGAGGTGCCGAAAAATGGTTTTACAGTTTCTCGATTTGGATGCTGTTCTCCTCTCTCCCATGAAGTTCTCCGGGGCGTGGTGCCGCCCCCTTCCGCGTGTTTTGTTTATATATACGTATATACATATATGGGAGATCCCGGGCCCCGGGCCCCGGGCCGGAACCTCCCTTGTATATAGGGTGCGGCCCTCTCCCGGGGCGCCCTTCCGGCGGCCCCCGCGCGTTCCAGCCCGCCCAAGAGGGCTCCAGGAGCGCCGAGAGAACCCCAGGATCGCTTCAAGACCGCCACAGATCGCTTCCAGAAGGGTCAAGACGCGCTCAAACCGCCCAAGAGGCCTTCAAGAGGCCCCCCACGAGCGCCCCGGGAGACCAAAATAGCCCCATTCCCCTCGTAAAACGTACATGTTTACGATATCAGCTCCCTTAGCTGTCGGAGCGGCCCGAAAGCCCCACGAGGCGCCCAAGGACGCTCCAGGACGACTGAGGACAGCCCCAAGACGGCCCAGGAGGCCCTCCCGGGACGCTCCTCCGGCGGCCCCCGGGCTGCCCAGTCCGCCCAAGAAGGCTCCAAGAGCGCCGAGAGAACCGCAGGATCGCTTCAAGACCGCAAAAGATCGCTTCCAGAAGGGACAAGAGGCCATCA